TTTTAAAAGATAAATGATATCAAAATGAATCTAAAAAAATAAGATAAGGAATCATAAATATAATTAAACTTTTTTTAAAAAATAAATAAATCTTTAAAAACATTATTTTTTCAAAAAAAAAATTAAACAAACCAACCCATAAGTTAGCTATCAAATTTTATAAAATAGTATATTTAATATTATTTATCAAATTTAAATTATTAACTTTTATTTGTTGAAATTAAAGTTTTCAGTAAATAGTTTGTTTTACATAATTTTAAAAAATAATTAATATTTCGTTGTCATACTGTTTTTTTCATATAGATTATAAGTATATTTCACATGAGACAACCATCCTTTTTTTTTAATAATCTATATATATTATGTGTACAAACATAATACAAAGTAGAAGAAAAAGTATAAATAAAAATGTATTATATTATGTTTGATCCTTTTATATAAATAAGAGTATTAGCGAAGATGGAATAATTTTGATAAGGTTATATTTGATATTTGAGAAATTTGGATAGTAAAATGATCCCAAACATAATATAATATATTTTTATCTATCCTTTTGACAAGGTTATAATTTTTTTAGGCATTTTATGATTTCTTGAAGGTAATATGAGTTCCCTAAGTTTGTAATTTGATATTGTTTTTAATTGAATTGATTGAAATAATTGACCTGTTGCATGATTAAATCTTTGTATTGTGTTATTAAATCTTAAAGAGCTTGATTTCAAATCTTATTAATTAATAGAATTGGTGTTATATGCTTTCTTACACGTTTATTATTATATCATTACTAAATTAATGGAGATTAACGTATATCAATCATAATTATTTAATTATAATTTGATTTTGATTTTTATAGAAATAATATAATTTAATTTAAATAAGATAGTTTTTTTATTGTTTCTTTATTTAGATACAATTTTTATATGGAGAATAGAATTGGTGTTATATGTTTATTATTTCATCATTATTAAATTAATGAAGATTAGCATATATCAATTAATTAGAATTATTCAATTATAATTTGATTTTGATTTGTATTGGAATAATAGAATTTAATGTCATTAAGATTGGTTTTTATTTTTATTGTTTCCTCATTTAGATATAATTTTTATAAGGGGAATAATTTTCTATATATTTAGTATTAATCTTTTTTTTTCTTTTCCTTAAAATTGGTCCAACAATTACATAAATATATTTTTATTAAATGATCTTTTTAATCATTTTATCATTTTGTTATTATACATTATAGTGATAAAGATTTATTTTTTAAAATAAAAGAAACATATAAATATAAAAGAACTATAATTCTTTCAAAAGAACGCGTGATTGTATTGTATGATTGCTAGTCGTTGATTTCAATATTTTTTTTTCTTGTGCCATTTATTTCTTAAAATGATAAATTAAAGTGTTATCGACATATGCATTCTAAATATTTTTTTTTTTGTATAAAGTATTTATTTTTAGATTATATACATCATATATTATAGTATAAAAATTAGTGTGTATTTTGATATTAAATTGATGTTTGAAGGTACATCAAGAGAAATGTCACTTTTATAATAATTTCTCAATTTAAAAAATGTTAGAAAAATATGTTATATTTTTCATACATTTATTATGTTCCTGAAGCAACTATATCAAAAGAATGAAAAAAGGAGATTAAGAAATACCCTAATTAAGTTGGTTTATTATTTATTGAAAACTAAACAAAATAATGAGATTTTTTAATGCACGAGACCATTTCAACTATTATTGTTTCATTCCTTGAAATGAATGTAACAATGTATTGATTTTTGTCTTCTCGTATTCAATAATGTGAGAAGTTAATATTATATGATACTTCAAAAAATAATTGAAGGTTTCAAAAGAGTTAATATATTGTTAGCTAGTGAAACAAAGTTACATATTGATAATATGCTATATTATTTTGAATCTTGTAGAAACCTATTAAGTTTAAGGAAATGTAAAGTATCTTGTAAGTATGAGATTTTACACTTTTACTTGAATAAGAAATATGTATCGGAAAAAATCATTACTTTTTTTTATGGTTTGTATTACACATATATTCAATTAAAACACATTCTCATAAACCAGAAGTTTAGAAATCAAAATAAATTTTTTATTTGGCATGATCGGTAAGGTCATCTTAAAAGTTTTATAATGCAAAAAATAATAAAAAATTGATGTAAACATTTATTGGAGAGTTAGAAGATTCATCAATCTAATAATTTATTATGTTTTTATTATTTTCAATGAAAGTTAATATCACTAAGATAATTGGGAAGGAAACTTTTATATTTTTATAGAACGGATTTAGGGTGATACTTGTAAAATAATACACTTACCATATAGACCATTAAATTAATTTTTGGCTACCATTAATCAATACACTTACCGTTCACATAATTATGTTACAATTACATGTTTATGAGTGTAGAAAAATACCTATTAAAATTTAGAAGAGGTATCATCTTTTTAAATTGATGCATAACTCAATAAATTAGTCATCCATTTTCAACTAAGGATATTTATGTTCACCCAAATAAATTACTAGTCGTATGTAGCATCTCAAAGTAAGTAAACACAACGGATTGATTATCTTAAGTAATATGCAAAATGGAATGTTAAAGAAAAAATAATGTTAAAAACAAAAGAAAACTAGTAGGCTAATAGATTGATTTTTGATCTTTTTTTACACGATGACCTGACATGGGATGTATTGTTTAGAAAAATGTTAAAAGTAGTGGAGATGAAACTCGAACATGACCTCCCACATTATGAAGACCAACTAAGTCACTAATTTGGCATATTTAGTTTATAGTATAAATAATATTTTACATATAACATTACTTCTACTGTTCTACATAGGTTAATTGAACATTTGATTCTAAAGTATTACAATTATACGCAAAATTAAGTTTCATCTCATTTATACACTCATTCCCACATTCATTAGCAAATTAGAAACCTTAGCGAAAAAACCAAAGTTTCCTCCTACACACTTTCTTTTGCCGTATATAGTTACCTATTTTTCAAAATTTTCCATATTCTCTTTTATTTGTACTTTATTCTTTCATTTTTTGCCCCCCTTTCTTTCCATTTCATTGGTGGATACGTCATCTCCCTAATTGTTGACTGATGAGTTTCATGCTTCAGGGACAAATTTTGGGGATGAGCAAAATTATATTAATTCTTCATGATCACTTGTGATGGAGATGATTTTAATTCGGACAAATTAAATTAGTTTACATGGTTTTGATTTTAACAACGTAATAACCACTTGTATCCAAAAAGACAAGATTAAGAAAGAAGAATTCTAAGTACGGATGTAAATCCCAAGATCATTAAACTGAAAAACTTAGATAAACACTTGTTCGAAGTCGTTAGCTCAACTCACAAGTTCTTCATTTTGTTAAAATTGAATATGAAAGAAATCATTTGTCAAAACATCAGAAAAAAAAAAAAAAAGAGTCAAAAGGTGAAAGGTGATTGTTTGCACTTTAATCATATTATTCACAAAATGACTACTAATTTTTGTAGTGAAATTTGTTTTTTCATACATTTTATTTATAATACAAACAAAAAATAAAAATATGATAAAATAATTAAGTAATTGAGAGAAATAAAAAATTATAAAATTCAAACTAACATTAATTTCTTATATCTAAGCAAATAAAATGAATTTCACAGAGATTAAGAAAATTCATTAAATACATTTAATTTTTATAATTTTACTTAAAATATACATCACATTTCTTAAAATATCCTTAACCACATTCATGAAATTTGATATATATAGTACTCTCATTTATTATCATAGGGATATTTTTAGATTAAAAACATTAAATAAAGTTGACTTAATAAAATTTGCTCATATTCTAGTTCAAAAACAAATTAAGATTTTTTTCTTATAAATAAGTTTAGATGAAATATTAACTAAACAGACAAAGGTATACATAATGTTAATTATTTCTATAAAAAAATTTATGCAAAAACTATTTCTCAAAAAAAATATTTTCTAGGATATCATTTTTTAAATAATAAACTGGATAAAAAAAATTAACATTTCTGATATTAGATTATAAAAAATAAAAAATTAATATACCAATCATTCAATGTTTGTTTTTCTAACAAAAATAAATAAATAAAATATAACGATCAAAACTAATTTTATAATATTCTGTCTTGTTAAAATATAAAATTTTCTTTTTTTTTTATTCGAAGTATCCACCGTTGATAGCAAATCTCCTCGTTATGTTGAAGGCACCTTAAAAGGTGAGATAATTGATCCCAAGATTTAAAGCAATTACATATATAAGGCAGGATTCGAATCCCTGATTTCGCTTATATAAAATCTGCTTTTATATAAGTTAAAATCGTTCTTGAATTTTTTTTATAAAAATATAAAATATTTCTGAATACAATAAAAAATAATTTTAGCGTTTCTCTATTAAAAAAAACTTTTAAACTTGTATTCAAATATGTTTATAGTCCAAATGTTCCTTTTATAGAAAACGGCGAAGACAAGTTTGTCAAATTTCAAAGGAAATGGGTCGCTATGATCTCATCCAATCCAAGCGTATTGTGGACCAATAGCTAAGTACCATAAAACATGATGATGACGGAGATTTCTTCTCAAATTTCTGGACCGCTATGATATGAATTGCGACTTTCAACTCTTACCACCCAGACCCAGGTCATCAATCATCATAAAACAATTACACCTTTTTTGGATGTTAATAATGTACCCTTTATCTCTTACTTATATCCTTAACTATGCCCTGCGTAATTTTTTTTCTTTAAAACTTATCGGATAATTTCTCTTGCAAGTGCGGTTCTGAATAATTATGATACATGCATAGTTATGTGTTGGTTATTTTTAATTTCTATAGTTTGAGGGAGATGGAGTAATGAAGAAGAAATAGCCGTTGAGGCGCGGATGAGCAATAAAAGAAGAGCGCGCCATGATATTCTTAACTCTGGCAAGAAAACAAGCATGCACAGTTGCACACACTACTTTACTAATAATGCTCTTCACTAGTTACAACTTACAAGGAAAAAAACTAGCCGTTACTCAGAGTTTGTAACAAAAGAGAGCCTCTGAAACTGAACCCGGCATTCTTTCTCTCTCTCACGCTCTCAACCCCCGCGCGCACCTACACTTCTTTATGTCATCACGTGCTCCTTCTCACTCCTCACTACAAAAACAATTCCTTCAACTGTTCCCCTCATGTTCCTACCTATCTTTCTATGCCCTTCTCCACTTCACTCACAACAACAAACACACTCTTCTTGTTCCTCTAACTCAACTCAACTCAACATCTCTTATTCTTTTTACATTCATTGTTTTTATTTTCGTTATGGTAGTGCAGGAAACCAACCCGACTTCACCACGTGGGGTGACAAATGCTGACCATGTTTCTTGTAAGAAGAAAGAAAGATGGAAGATTTGGTCCAAGATGCACAACCCATGTTGTTTTTTCTTTCTCTTGTGTGTTGTGCTTCCCACGTGCTTGAGGCCAGTTTCCTGTGAAGAGGATGGTTGGGATGGGGTGGTTGTGACAGCATCAAACTTGTTAGCACTACAAGCATTCAAGCAAGAGTTGGTTGATCCTGAAGGCTTCTTGAGGAGTTGGAACGACAGTGGCTATGGAGCATGTTCAGGAGGTTGGGTTGGTATCAAGTGTGCTCAGGGACAGGTTATTGTGATCCAGCTTCCGTGGAAGGGGTTGAGGGGGCGCATCACAGATAAAATTGGCCAACTTCAAGGCCTTAGGAAGCTTAGTCTTCATGATAACCTAATCGGGGGCTCAATCCCTTCAACTTTGGGACTTCTTCCCAACCTTAGAGGTGTTCAGTTATTCAACAATAAGCTAACAGGCTCCATCCCTTCTTCTTTAGGTTACTGCCCTTTGCTTCAGTCTCTTGACCTAAGCAACAACTTGCTCACAGGAACAATCCCTTATAGCCTTGCCAATTCCACCAAGCTTTATTGGCTTAACTTGAGTTTTAACTCCTTCTCTGGTCCATTACCAACTAGCCTAACTCACTCATTTTCTCTCACATTCCTTTCTCTTCAGCATAATAATCTATCTGGCCCTCTTCCCAACTCATGGGGTGGGAGTGGGAGTGAGAGTCCCAAGAATGACTTTTTTAGGCTTCAAAATCTGATCTTAGACCATAACTTTTTCACCGGAAATGTTCCTGCTTCTTTGGGTAGCTTAAGAGAACTCAGTGAGGTTTCCCTTAGTCATAACCGGTTTAGTGGAGCTATACCAAATGAAATAGGAACCCTTTCTAGGCTTAAGACACTAGACATTTCTAATAATGCCTTGAATGGGAGCTTGCCTGCTACCCTCTCTAATTTATCCTCACTTACATATCTGAATGCAGAGAACAACCTCCTTGACAATCAAGTCCCTGAATCTTTAGGTACATTGCATAATCTTTCTGTTTTAATTTTGAGTAGGAACCAATTTAGTGGACATATTCCTTCAAGTATTGCAAACATTTCCACGCTTAGGCAGCTTGATTTGTCACTGAATAATCTCAGTGGAGAAATTCCAGTCTCCTTTGACAGTCAAAGTAGTCTAAAACTCTTAAATGTTTCTTACAATAGCCTCTCTGGTTCTGTGCCCGCTCTACTTGCCAAGAGATTCAACTCAAGCTCATTTGTGGGAAATATTCAACTATGTGGCTACAGCCCTTCAACCCCCTGTCTTTCACCAGCTCCATCAGAAGGAGTCATTGCCCCACCTCCTGAAGTGGCAATACACCGCCATCATAGGAAGCTAAGTACCAAAGACATAATTCTCATTGTAGCAGGAGTTCTCCTTGTAGTCCTGATAACACTTTGTTGCATCATGCTCTTCTGCTTGATCAGAAAGAGAGCAACATCAAAGGCAGAGAATGGCAGAGCCAGAGCCGGCGGTACTAGCATAGAAAAAGGAGTCCCTCCTGTTGCTGCTGGTGATGTTGAAGCAGGTGGGGAGGTTGGAGGGAAACTAGTCCATTTTGATGGACCAATGGCTTTCACAGCTGATGATCTCTTGTGTGCAACAGCTGAGATAATGGGAAAGAGCACCTATGGAACTGTGTATAAGGCTATATTGGAGGATGGAAGTCAAGTTGCAGTGAAAAGATTGAGGGAAAAGATCACTAAAGGTCAGAGAGAATTTGAATCAGAAGTTAGTGTTCTAGGAAAAATTAGGCACCCCAATGTTTTGGCTATGAGGGCCTATTACTTGGGACCAAAAGGTGAAAAGCTTCTGGTTTTTGATTATATGCCTAAAGGAAGTCTTGCTTCTTTCCTACATGGTAAGTTTGGTATTTGCAAATATTGACATGGTCATCGTATTTGTTCTATTGATAGAGCTTATCAATAAGTCAAATATTTTCTCTTCCATCTTGATGCAGGTGGTGGAACTGAAACATCCATTGATTGGCCAACAAGGATGAAAATAGCACAGGACTTGGCTCGTGGCTTGTTTTACCTTCATTCCCAGGAGAACATTGTACATGGGAACCTTACATCTAGCAATGTGTTGCTTGATGAGAACACAAATGCTAAAATTGCAGATTTTGGTCTTTCTAGGTTGATGACAACTGCTGCTAATTCCAACGTCATAGCTACTGCTGGAGCATTGGGATACCGTGCACCTGAGCTCTCAAAGCTTAAGAAAGCAAACACTAAAACTGATATCTACAGTCTTGGTGTTATCTTGTTAGAACTCCTAACGAGGAAGTCACCTGGGGTGTCTATGAATGGAGTAGATTTGCCTCAGTGGGTTGCTTCTATTGTCAAAGAGGAGTGGACAAATGAGGTTTTTGATGCTGACTTGATGAGAGATGCATCAACAGTTAGTGATGAGTTGCTAAATACATTGAAGCTTGCTTTGCACTGTGTTGATCCTTCTCCATCAGCACGACCAGAAGTTCATCAGGTGCTCCAGCAGTTGGAAGAGATTAGACAAGAGAGATCAGTCACAGCTAGTCCTGGCGATGATCCTAACATCATATAGGACAAATTTTGCATTGAACCTTTTCTTTCATTTTTTTTTGCATGCCAGAAGTAGTAGTAGGTCCATTATATACATATTCTATAATTCTTTCATTCTTATATTAATTTTGCCAATTTGAATGCTTGAGTTTGTAAATACTACATACTATATAATAAGGTGGATTCCCTCTCCCCCAAAGTTGGTGTGTGATTCTGTTTCCTCCAAGGAATATAATAGTTGAAATAATTGCTCTCAGGAACAGTTGTTGTTTCTTCTGAAGATTCTCTCACACAGATGCTATCTTTTATGCATTCCCTGCTATAAAATGTATTATCTAGATTTCTAACTGTTCTGTATCATAAATAGCCTAGGCTTCCTGAAGATATACACCATAGGAGTTTGGAAACATGTTTGCTAATAATGATTCACATCCGGCTGAAGCTACAAAGAGAGAGTAGTTTCTGCATTTTCTTAAAATCTGACATGAAAAAAACAGTGAGACTTGACTTGGGAATGTGTATCCAAACACACTTATTTTCCTGCAAGCATTCCAGGTTCACATCTGATCTTGTATGACAATACCTTCCAAGATAATGGCTTCAAACAATGGCTCTAGAAATTTGAAGTAATTTTATACAATTTTTCTATTGTGATAAAGTTGATCAGCTGTGAACAATACCAATAATATCTAGAATTGGAAATCTCTATCAACTGGAACAAACAACACACCTAGAAAAGGGATAAATGATAGGATAGTTAACGACCCTGAAAGTTAGAACCTATAATTGCAACAACAAAGGAAAAAACCACCCAACATAGTTCCAACTTGAAAATTCATTCAATAGAAAGTTAAATATGTAAAAGATGGTTCTGTTCAAATCACTTGACAGATATACATTAGAAGATTTGTCATTATGAAAGTTCGCTATATAAATAAATACACAAGCTAAAGAATATCATTCAAATGCTTGATTGTTTATGTTCCGACTATAAATCCTATCGTTAGGGTTATCATATTTGAAGTATTGTTCATTTTAATACTCATTGAACGTCAAGGTTTTTATCTTTGAAAAGACATCTTGGTGGATTAAGGATAGAATATTAAACTACTTTTAATCTTAAGTGATATGAGACTTTTAAACATATCAAAACAAGTCTTCCAATGAAGGTTAAGAGACAAGAGTGACTTAGTCCCTTCTCCTAATGTCAATGTTTCAACCATAAATCTATTGACATTGTTAAAGTTACTGTGTCTAAGGTGTTGTCTATTTTAATACTTGTTGAATCGTTATGATTTTATTCATAAAAAAATGTTTTGATGGATTAAAGTAAGGAGGTATTTATACAATATCCTTAATCTCCATTCTTAAATGACATGAGACTTTTAATGATATTAAAACAGTTTTGATTTTCAACTCTTTATAATCTTCTTTGATGAAATAGTTGCCACATTTCTCATGTAAGTTGCTTGTATACTCCCACAATCAAATAAGGTTTCATCAGTCTCAATTCTCAAATTATGTTTTACAAAAACTAATTGATGGTGATAAACAGACAATTGATGAGAAATGTTTTTCAACCACCACCATAACTACCGTCTGCCAACAACCTAGTATCAACCAAGACCACATTAACAGACAATCTTCAGAGAAACACTGTTAAGTTGCTGCTAAAGAGGCACCATCTCACGGGTAGATCAAACAGTATCATCAATAATAAAATCCGTATCATTTGACCAGCAAATAATTATGAATTTTGAATGTTCTATCAAAGTACATTACTTAGGTGCAAGTCTTATAATTGTTCAATCGATGACATTCAATTGATTTGGTTATGAAATATATTTTCAATTTTTTTTGTATTTACTTTTTTATCATATAAAATGAGTATATTTTTAAATGGATTATTACTTGAAAATTATTTTTGCATCCAAAATATCGATTGTATATCATATTATTTTCTCTCCTCCTGAGCAATTCTTGCGTGATGGTCTTATATCATATTGACCTAACGAAAACTTGGTAGGAGAAGATTTGGGATGTCCAACGAAAGTTTGTGAGAAAATAAATAGAATTGGAAAATTGCTTCAATAACTGCATTGCACACTTATTATTAACAAGATTAAGTTTTTTAGGTCTAAAAAATTATGATTTTTTATATTTATTCTCATTCTAAATATTAATATATATTTCTCTTTAATATCTTTTATATATATTAACGGAATTGAGGCATCCCGTACTTCTATATTTATTTAAAAGTATTTAAGAATTATTAATAATTATTGAATTAATTAGTATTATACTTAATTTTCAAAATTTAAAATTTTAGATTCAAGAATTGGATTTAGTTAATTTTTAATATTATTTTTTATTATTTAAAAATTTAAAAATAAAATAATAAAAAAATTATAAACACAAAAACAGAACATCCCTTTATAATTTGTATAGATATTATAATTTTTATTCGGTCCTCTTAAAATTCACATGTCTTCCATTTGGTCTTCTACTTAAAGAGACCAAGCAAAAAAATTGTCCTAGGAGAATCAAATGAGAAGAAACAAAAAAGAAGAGAGATATTATTTGATGCTAACAAATGTTTTATAGAGGACTAATTCGAAAAATTAAAATAAGAGGTCAAATAAAAAAATTTACCAATTTTTGAAGGACAAATTATTATTATTATTTTCCCTAGAATGAAGCATTATATAAATTTGATCATGTTTTATTTTAACAGCAATACATGATACCACTGGTAGAGTTCGAGTCTGAATGATATATTAAGCTACAATATATTATATATGAATTTGAAAAGTGAAACTAGATGAATGAAAAATTATAGGGATTTGTTAAAATAGTTTTCTTGATTTAATTAGGATCATTTTTAATCTAATGCAAAAGAATTAAGCCATTGTGTTATGTTACTCAATTAGTAGTTTTGCCATCGTGTTAAGTTACTTGGTCAATTTTTTTTTTTAAAGTGAAATGGCCATTTGTGTGTTATGATAGTTGTAGAGAAATTTTGTCATAATTGAATTCTATTATTTCAAAATCCTGTTTAGATTAATTGAGCTAGCCTTTCAATTGAAGGTATGCATGTATAAACCACAAACGTGTTGCATTTCTTCCCATTGTGGTACCACTTGTACCATCAAGAGGGACATTGGATGGTCATAAAATGGTGCATACACACCACAATTTTATACACCATTATAGTGACTTTCGACCTCTCACTCCCAGTCCCAGGTCCACAATTACTCTATTCAACTTGTGAAGAGTGAAGACTATCACTGAAACCCACTACGGAAGTCCATAAAATGGTGCATGCTCACCAAAAGTTTATACACCATTATAGCGACTTTCGACCTCTCACTCCCACATCCACATGCTCTATTCAACTTCTAAACACTATCACTAATACCTATATATTATAGCTTCATCAGGGTAACATGCTTTTTAAGTTTTAACCAAAAACAACGTATCATTCAGCGTGACCTTTAAGAAGGCCCCATTGTAACAGAAGACGAACATGATGAATTTCTCTTTAATTTCGTTTACTAACTTTCATAATTATTTAACTAATTAGCGCCTCTTTTTTCAATTGATATATAATTTTAGTTCTTCTATTTTAAAATAAAGATATTTAGTTATTTTTAATTTTAAAAATATATAATTTTGACTATTCGGTCAAATTGATATCTACCAATTATTAAATTTTAATGTTTATTTATATTTAAGTGATATAACATTTAGTAACATGATATTTAAAAATAAATATTAATAAATCGTAAGAATAAACACAAATACAGGTCTTTTGCATATTAATTTTTTTAATTTTTATATGTATATATTATGTTATTAAATATTGCATCATCATTTAAGTGGTAATAGATTATCGAACAATGTCAAAATTTAAAAGTAGAAAAAAATTATTTTTAAAAATAAAGGGACAGAATAACTCTATTTTAAAATAAAAGATCAAAATTATGAATCAACAAAAATAAGGAAACCAAAAATGTTATTTAGCCTAATTATTTCAATTATAAAAAATTGATCGTGGAACTAAAAGATACATAATTAATACCAACATTGAAACAAGTAGTAGCAGTTTGTGCCACTTAATCAAGATATTCAAAGTTTGATCCTAACTTTAACTAAGTTGAGAGGAGAATACTCATCTTGTATGCACTTGTGATTCTCGATAGAGATTAGTCATTATTTCTATCCGTGGATATTTCTTACCAATATCATCATATTATCCACACAAAAAAAAGATACAAAATTAATTAGATTTTTATAAATCAAAATTTCTTCTTGAATGCATAAAACCACACAATTATGATATTTAAAAGATTAAAATGACTTAATTAAAACTAAACTCAAATAATTAAGTTATTTAAAAAATTAAAAACATATATAAGTCTTTTTTTTTAATTATATCATTTATTTATTTTCTCTCTCTTTCTCTCATATTTTCTACCTTTGTATGCTCAAAATAGGACGTACATTCCTAAATAATTAAGAAGTTGATTCCCGTTTATAATTAACTATGAAAATATAAAGAGTCAATCAAACTTGATTCGAGTAGAATTGAATTTAATTAAATCTTTAAGTAAGGTTGTGTGTTCAATCTTGTGGTGGAAAAAAGTGACCGAGAGGAAAAGCACACTAAAGATGTCTTTATTTAGGTTGATATAAATTAATCATGAATAAAATCAATAGATATTTTGTATCAGTAATACAATTGTTTGCTGGGTTTCATTAATTGTTCCCAAATTGTCGTGTGGCAGAGGCTTGAGTGGGTCAAGTCATCATTGAGACACATGACGCTTGCGCTAGTACGGTTAAGTAAAAAAAGTTGTATCCTGACTACCAACTATAACTTTTGGCCTAGTGGTAAGTGTTCGGTCCAATAACAATTAAACAACATAATTAAGGGTTTAATTTTTACCAAAAAAGTATCACTTTTGGTATCCAAAGGAGTAGGAAGAATCAAATTGGAGTGAATTTGAGACATATTCTCATCCGATCTAATTAACTTTAATTGATTTAGATTGGTTTGATTTTTTTTTAGTCTAATCCAATAATATTTGCGTTTTTTTGTCCTGTCATATATAAGTTTTCTCTAATTCAAAGACTATCTCACTCATAATATTGTAATTATTGTTAGTTCAATGACTTTTCACATACAACAAGAATTGAACATGAATTCTTTACTAAATAGATAATACTTACATGTAATACAACATTATATTATCAAATTCTATTGATAAAGTG